TTTTACCAGCAGAATCTTTGATCAAAGGGATGCCAAAACTATTGCTGCGTCAATGTAGCTGCCCCTGTCTCGGCTACCCGGCTGCTACGGCATCCCGATGGGAGTAAACAAGTACGGAAAGTCTTTTATAGAATTCGTGAGAATGCAGGCCAGAAAGTACAAATCGATATGCATACATCGTGTAAAGTGCTTCATACGTTCATGGACATGGAGATCAGGTGAAGAGAACAGTCAACTTCCACATAAAAAGCGCAAATTCAAACGATGCAGGTCTTCCCGGAGGTCCCTCCACCTCGCTATAACCTTCATGCCGTAAATCAAATCATTATGCATACGTTCGTGGGGACAGTCCGAATGCCTGCCACGGCCATGCGGCTCGGAAGTCTCAGAGATGAGATAGAAAGAAGTATCTCCCCATGAACAGCTGCTCAGCGGTCTCAAGCCAACCCAGATGGGAAAGGTCAGAATGGGAGCACAGGCGATGCAAATTGTTAGAAATAGAAATCGATACGATCCTCGCAAAGTATAGGGTATTATTTCATGACGAATGGGAGAAATACGCGAGAAAGAGTCATCTAATCGACCACCTGACAGTAGAGCTGAATCTCTCCTATCAGGCCCTTGGCAAGCATGTCCCGGTGTTGCTCACGCCACTCCATGAATGCGAGCTGAACCGCCTCGTCACTATCGATTGTGACGAAATCTCCATCCTCGTCGCGGTAACGCAATCGAACGGTTTTGTTTCCGATAGATCGGTCAGTGAAGCGAGCCAGCTTGGCATCCACGCGGTCCGTCAACGAACGGAACAGGATGTTGGTTGCAATCACCAGTGTCACGTAGTTGTCATCGAAGTTGACCTTGGCCTTGAGCTGGGTGGGCATGTATGAGTCTCCTTCGTCAGGCTCTTGGGTCAGAGGCGAGGTGGCATGATCGGAAATTTGCGCCGAGTTGCGTGCTTCGTTGTATTCTGGTTCGTTGAAATGCGTAGTGTGGATGTGTGGCTGGGTACGGATGGGCAGCTGACTGTTGGTGGGCGAATTGTTCTGGCTTCGGTTGACTGGCGCTTTCATGTTGGCCATGTGCGCAGGGATCGGAGGCACCGGGACATTGTCGACGGTCTGCATCGTGTGCACTCCCATGTACCGTTGAGATCCTGGAGGTCCGTTGTTGTGGTGGTGAATGTCAGGACTACTAGCCGACCGCATCCGCTGAGCCATGCCATTGGCAGAGTGTCCCTGGGGCCCAGAGAGGGGAGGCAAAGACGGACGCTGGGCACCTCGACCATTAGGCTGTGGCGGGAAGTAGCTCCCAGAGGTTGAACCTTCCCGCGACGCTACACGAGACAGGGCCGGCGCTGTGTATCTATTTGACTCTTCATTCCAAACAGTTGATGGTGTTGTGGAATTGGTATTCTGGCGTCCGAAGGAAAATCCTGACTGGGAACTCGATCTGGTAGATGGAGTCTCTGTGGGAGAGAAGTAAGAGTTCATTCCGCGATCACTGGGTGACATATTTCCATTGCCGGAGAACTGAGTGTGCACCGATAGTGTCGGATCAGTCCCTCCAGTGTAGCGCGATCGGCTATTCGGATGAGGAACAGAGTTGGTGCTGCCACCGGTGGCGGACCGGGTTCTCAGGCTAGTACTAGATGCGTTTCGGCTCATAGGGAACTCAGAATAGTAAGGGTCTTTGCCGTTGGCGTCATCAGTGTCGTACTCCTGTTGATACGGGTTGGGCATATGGGCCATACCCTCCATGTATGTGAATTCGCTGTCCGAGGTACCAGTGTTCCGAAGATTGCGTCGCTCGGCTTGGATCGCCCGCTGGGTGTCAATGTCCTTGTACCAATTGCGCATTGTGTCTTCGTTCGAATAACGGATGATAAAATTGTCAACAACACCGGGGTCACCCTTCCAGAAGATCTGAATACGGTAGAGGCCGGGCTTTTGAAGGCAGACGATATCCGTGACGTTGGCCATGTAAATCCGACCCTTCAACTGGAGACGAGCCTTGCCTTTCGCGTTGAGAGACGGCTTGTCCTTCTGCATCATGAGCTTTGTCTTTTGCTTGTTGGGGTTGATGTCTTTGCAGCATAGAAGAATTCGCTCAAACAGATAGATGTGATACTGATAGTCATGTTAGTAAGTCTTTCATATAACGATAGACGATTAAAGCAAATGACATACCTCTCTTTCGTTATCCTTGCCACTGTCCCCCTTGACTACTTGGAACGTGCCAAATCGAAGAAGGTCTCCAAAGGAGTCCATCTTCAATGCCTTCCAATCATCCACGCGCTCAGAGAGATCAACAACGGCTGCTGCCAGATGCTCCTTGTGAATTGCCTCATTCGCAAAGTCCAGCACATTTTGAATAGTGTCAATGGCATGGGTGATATCGCCCTGAAGTTGCGGGTCTTCTAATTGTTTGCGTAGCTCCTATAACCCAATCACATTAGCCCATCAACCCAGAAAGGGCGACGAATGAGCCTACTTACCGAGAGCATGAGCGGGTAGCGTGTCAATCGCTGGAAGGGTTTAACGAAGAACCCGTTGAGCGTCTTCGGCTGCGCAACCATTTGTTGCAGGTCCACGGAACGTGGCGCACTCTTGATCTTATCCCACTCCTTGATACAAGCATCGTCGCAACGCATTTGGTTGGCAATGAAAGGTTCATACTGCCGGAATGCTTCTTCGTGCGAGAAGAATAGCTGACCCCAGTTCTGCATTTCTTCCGGTAGCGCGTAGTGTTGCTCCATACGAATGAGGAATCGTTGCGCAAAGTCTAGCAAGTTGTTCAAGTTGAGGAAAATCTGATGGCTCGCGTCACCCGTCAAAGCACCTGTCTCCTCTAGTTCCTTTTTAAGCGCTTGGAGATTTTGCAGGTGATGGACATAGTCGCGCTCCGTTTCCAGAAGCTCTTTCAGAATATGCTCCCGTGTGGTGAGCTTAACGGCCGCCTTAGCACCCGTAGGTGTTTCTGTGGCTTCCGATTGCTTCAATTGACCTTGCATCTCCAGGATGTCCACCACACGGTTGACCATCTTGATAACTTTAATGAATCCCGTTGTGCTATCGCCATAGAGATCAGTAATCAAGAAGCAATCTTGCTGGGGGAACGCCAGGTCTTGCAAGCAGGCCTGTAGGAACTTGAAGGTTGCAGCCTTAGGGCGCTTGCCTTCGGTCACCTTCTCCGGGTTGATTTCCAGCTTCTCATCGGGACCAGAGGCATTGTAGATACTCAACAGTGGATAGCCATTTCGAAGGCAGTTCCACAACGATGCTACCGGATCAGTGTTCCCTCTGATGCGATCATCGTCATCCATCTCTTGCAGGTATGACTCAAAATTCGGGACCTCAGATAGCCTCCTCCTTAGATTGACACAGCTCTGGTAGATCGATTCACCACCCCGTCGATTGATGATGTTATCCTCAGCGACCGGCGCGCCGCTCATCGCTGCGGAATCGATCATATCGAATGTCCTCGAGGGTGAAGTATATATGAGTTAGACCAGCCAGTCTCAATTTTGAATCTGCACAGCAGACCCGCGATGGGTGGGTACTGAGGGAGCGACAAGCGTCGGGAGATGGGAGATGACGATCATGGATTCCCCGGGTGGGTGTGGGCGCAGTCCAGGTTCGAAATCCAAGGCGACTAGCTCTCCGGTCAACGCGTGAGTTGTATATTCGGCGAAGCGGTTTCGAACAAGCACCCGGTAGATATATGTATATTTATGAACCGAGGACTCAGATGTCAAATTCGGGGCACCGTCACTCTCTGGCGGAAAAGGAGGGGCTCGAGGGATATATTCCGACCTGCAGCCAACCCCAATCGATAGGGTGTTTAGATTCGAGCTGAAGTATCGCTGCAGCCGGGCAAGCGAGTCAGATCAGAGATGAAAGAAAGTTCGGAGGAACACCTCGAAGGCCAGTCACTAGGACTCGGGGGGAGGCGAGGGGAAAAAGGGGCGCCAAGGGGATATGGGAACCAGAAACAAGGGCCCGATCGGATGATGATATCGAGACAAAGAAACAAAGCGACAAGAGCCAGTACAACAGATAAACGGCGGTTCTGCTGATGGTAGAAACGGAGAAAGGAGAGAGGGTGAGCCAAAGGAGTCTGTTCAGTTGCCCCAAGGGGTTTAGCGTGTGTTCCATCGGGCGGTGGGATGTGGAGAGGGGCAGTTGACACCTTGAAGTATAAGTATAGACAGACATGTTGATATTTTGGACACTCTGGGGATGTCTTGTCTGTTTGTCTGCTTGTCTGTTGTATATATCTTCAATGGATACTCCTGAGGACTACGGGCATGCTGCCTAAATGGCCATAGGGCCTAGCCATAGGCCCTAGCTATGCAGGTTAGATTGAGGGGAGTTCGACAGCTGGCAAGTGTACTTTACTGTATCGACATACAGACATACATGTACAATCTGGCATACAATCTATGTATTACGCTTTATGATGTATGGCGGAAATAGGCTGTCTGTTGGCTTCAAAGCTTCAAAGGCAAAGAAAGTCCGCGTCTATGGGCTTCCATGTAAACTACGGATTATTGGCTGGGGAGTACAGTAGAATAGGTACCTCATTCCCCTGTCCGCCATACTGTAGATCTAAGATCTAACTTGATACGAATCCTTGACTGGCGCCGGACATCTTCTATACAGTTGACCAAACCCACGTGACCCAGGGGCAGCAATGTCCATTCCTGTGCCTTCATAATTTTACAGTATTTGTTTTGTAATTTCGAGAGCCTGGATTTAGTATAACTTTACCTGTGCTGATAGTTATATCTACTTTCTGTGTGGATCCTGTGGATGTGACGTGACATGCGAAAGAGTGGCCAACCCGTTCAACCTTCCTCTCACATTCATCCTCTCGGGGACAACCCTCGTTTCCTATATCTCGGCTATTCGTGAACTGTCTTCTGCTATAGGTTTCGCGCAGAGCCACCGCTCTCGGTGTTCGACTCATCACCACGGCGCAAACCCCTCGGAACCGCGTCAATGGAGGGCGATTCTATGCCTGATGCTCGAACATCCCCGACACTGCGATTGCAGACCACCGTCGCCGACTTCCCTGCGCCGTCTCTGTCACCCACTTTTAAGCTGGACGAAGGATACTCCGATGAGACCCGAAGCCAGGCAGAGAAGGACCCGGGTTCGGACAATGTGATGATGCTTCCGAACTGGGTGCTCGCTCAGAGCGAGGCCGGCAGAGCTGGTGAGAATTTTCTTGTGTTCACTTTTCTGTCCCTTTATTGCCATAGCGGTAAAGCGCGCATTTCCAGCTTGTCGCCTTTGCTTCCTGGTCGCTTTGTTCTTCCTGCTGACCAAAGTTGCCTCCCCCACAGAGCTGGCGTACAGTCTCCTACGGTCTCTACGTACCTCAAGCATCGCCGCAGTGGTTGAACGACTCAATCCAATTCTCCACATGGATCCGGTTGTCAAGCTTCCCCCCGAACTCACATGGGAGATCTTTTCCTACCTCGACCCCAAAACGCTCCTGAACTGCTCGCTTTCGTCCCGCGCGTGGCGTGAACGGATTCTGGATTCGGGTCTATGGCGGTTTCTCTACATCAATGAAGGCTGGCGCATGGATGTGCGTGCGATTCGTGCCTTCGAACAGGAACATTCCGAACCCATCTCGCCCCAGTCCCGAAAGTCTCGCCTGCGACACAACGAACCAGACATCGGGGAGCCTAAGCACAAAAAGCGCGTGCCGCCAACGTGGCTCTCTTCGCGAAGCACTGAAGAACAAAGAGTCGCTGGGCTCAACTTTGCACCCGCAGTGGCCGATAATGAGGGTGATCACCACATGACAGATGACGACCAAAGTGATCCTTCGCTGGCCAGCTCGAACCACACTCCGCCAACCCCTTCTTTCCGAATTCCCTCATCGCTATACCCACCTTTACAATCGTCCCTCCTCACGCGTGCTCCTGACGGAAGTGTCAAAGTCAACTGGTCTCATCTCTATAAGCAGCGTAGGCGACTCGAAAAGAATTGGCACCAAGGCCGATACACCAATTTCCAGCTTCCCGACCCATCTCACCCGGAGGAAGCACACCGAGAATGCGTCTATGCGATCCAGTTCGAAGGAAGATGGCTGGTCAGTGGGAGCCGAGACAAGACAGTCCGTGTCTGGAATCTGGATACAAAGCGCTTATGGCACACCCCGCTAATAGGCCACGCAAAGTCCGTTCTCTGCCTTCAATTTGATCCTAGCCCCGAGGAGGATGTCATCATTTCTGGCAGCAGCGACAAGACCGTCATTGTATGGAAATTCTCGACTGGAGAAAAAATCCACCAGATCACCAAGGCACACGCAGATTCGGTCTTGAATCTGAAGTTCGATCGTCGGTTCCTGGTCACCTGCTCCAAGGACCGAACCGTTAAAGTATGGAACCGCAGGGAGCTTCTGCCGAATGACAAGGATTACCCACGTATCTGCCGAGGCGGAGGTGCAACTTACCCTTCGCACATTATTGATCTCACCGACATTGCACCAAACATGCTCGAGGCTGGCATTGCCAATGGACAAATCAAAGCTTTGCAGCCTTACTCACTGCTTATGACCGTGGAAGGGCACGGAGCTGCGGTCAATGCGATGCAAATCCACGGCGATGAGATTGTGACCGCGTCTGGTGATCGCATGATCAAGGTCTGGAGCATTCGCAATGGTGCCTGTTTGAAGACTTTGATGGGCCACGAGAAAGGTATCGCGTGTGTTGAATTTGACAGCCGAAGGATCATCAGTGGCAGCAATGATAACACAGTTCGCATCTATGATCATGTTTCCGGGGCCGAGGTGGCGTGTCTGCGCGGTCACAGCAATCTTGTTCGTACCCTTCAAGCAGGCTTTGGTGATCGTCCCGGAGCCGACGAAACCCTGCGACAAGAAGCGCAAGCAGTGGAAAATGAGTTCTTCGCCGCCCAAGAGGCCGGGGAGTCTGTTGACCTGGGCGCTCGGGAACAACGGCGCAGCGGTCATCGAGTCAACACTGCAGGATCCCGAGACCCTCGCGATATCACCGCTCTGGGGGCAAAGATCCCCCCTGGTGGTGGAGGTAGCAGCTGGGCCCGCATCGTATCAGGGTCCTATGACGAGACAATCTTGATCTGGCACAAGGATCGTGATGGCAGGTGGACAATGGCTCACCAGCTGCGACAAGCGGATGCCGTTACCAACGCCGCTCGTGGGAACCTCAGCCAAGTAGCACGGACTACTGTCGCGGCTCAGGCTCAACAGCTGCAAGCAGCACAGGTTCTGATGACACTTCCCACGTCCCAGGCGGGACAAAATGGTACCGGGAATAATATAGCTCAAGCTGGACCTGCCAACCAGAACAACCCGGTTGCCCATGCCAATGCAGCTCCTCCGGCTGGTACACTGGGGCAGGCACCCAACCCACCTCTCGCTCACCACCATCATCACCACGTTCACCCACGGAGACAAGCTATCATTCCAACCCCCACTGCGAGAGTATTCAAACTCCAGTTCGATGCACGAAAGATCATTTGCGCCAGTGTCGACCCACGTATTGTGGGATGGGATTTCGCCTGCGATGACGAAGAACTCATTGAGGCATGCCAGTTTTTCCAGGGACTATAATTCTTATACAGATTTTAATACCGGCGCCTGATTATATTTTACCTGGGTGGATCTCTCCATCGTCCGCGCTGGACGCGAACTCTCAATGCCCTCCCTGATGAAAACATGAATGGTGCAAGTGTTCAACGATGACTTTCTACTTGCATCCTGCATGATGTTTGCTTTGCTCTTCTCGCTTTTCTGTGTGTCCCGAACCATTATCCCTATTCTCTCTGCCACTCGCCCATATCCTTCCAATTCTATGCATGCGACGGGGCCCTTGCTCTCCAGCTAATGATGTATTTCTTAAACATGCCTCGCGTATCTTTTACCATCTTTCCGGTTTCCTATTTGCTTACCATATTTACCTTGCATGGTGCCAGCGTGGCAGTCTATCAATAGTTATTACTAGCATTGCATGAATTCACCCAGGGTGATCAATCCAGAACTTTTAATGACAGGTTTACAAAAGTCTAAATTTCTATATCGGTAAGTCTGGTCCCGAAGATGCACGCATTAGTGGTGCTGGTGTCTTGTAGTTGGAGTCTATGGCATCTGGATGTGCACCGTGCTCGGGAAGGACTTCTAGAAGGGATTCCAGGGCTGTGGACGGGGAGACGGGGGTGAGGTCAATGCGCAGTATCAAGTCCCACTGGTGGACCCGAGACTGTTACACTCAACACACCAAGACGAGGATCGAACTGGTTAACCAGGGACGAGCAATAAGCAGTGAAGTCAAGCTATGTGGAAAGAAGAAGGGAAAAAGGTCCCCCCCGAAATAATTATGGAAGATGCCTAAATTTGGGTCACTCCGGGGTAAATCTTTCACTACTTACCCCATCCCACGACCATCGTTGAACCAAATGATGGCCTTGGACACCCGCAGGGGGCACTTCGGCACAGCCATCAGGTACGAAGGGGAGGGGTCCGCACCGAACCACCGCTGACTTGCTCGGATGGAGCAGGTCGGCCACAGGGACTTCGGTTGAGGTTCTAACTCCGGTTTACCTTAATAGCACCACTTCGTTCCCAAAGAGGCAATTTAATTGAAAGGACTTTCAGATTTATGTCAGGGTCCGGTTGATCCCCTCTATTATTGTTTAATTCACGGACAGCCTGAGCAGATTAACCAAGTCCATTTGGGGTCCTGCTTATGTCGAGGTGGTGGTGTTACAGTCAATATCGGCATTCTTACATTGCAATCACCTCCTCTTGGTTAAAAATTAAAGTATCAATATGTCCCAAGCTTGCCTTCAACCTCCATATCACCAGAAGCAAAATCAATATGCGACGAAGCTCACCAACTCTGAATAGATCACGGAACAGCCCTGTCTGGCCCCATCCCATGAGCAGTATTCTTGATTGTATGAAGAAACATTGACGGGAAACAATGTCTCCCAAAGCGATCCTCAAACGACTGCATCAAAACACGCATCAGCATGACATACATCCATAAGAAGAGAAACACTCGAGGAATGACTTACCGTCTTCCCACCCTCATGCTCGGCAGTCCTAAACCCTAACCAGCGCCTGTACAAATCCTCCGCACTATGCGTAGTAAACATGTACGAAAGCCGATAAGTAATATGATCAAACAAATGAGCAAAATTCCAAATACTATCCGGACCCCCATTAATATTCTCCGGCGTGCCGGGGTTATAAATGCGCGCCAGTTCCTGCGGTGTCCACAAGCCATCGGCATAGATAGGATGCGGAACATACACAGCCTTTAGACCATGGAACAGCGACCACGACGCACCCGTCATTTCAGAAGCAAGACCGAGTCCCTTCGTCGCTTGTGCGTAATGGATCAAATCTAGAAGACGTTTGGAGTACCGACCCATTGTGATAACTGCCGCACGGCGTGGGGTTTCGTTGCCGTATTTGAAGTTCCAGATTTTGTTGGGGAATGTCCATGCTGTGTCTTTTGGGTTGAAGATGGGCAGGAAAGTTATGAAGTCTGCTTCTTCGCCGACGCCCCAGGTGTAATTGTCGTAGTCAGGGTGGGGGACTGGGGGCTCGGGGCCTAGGGGTCTGATTCCTGTGCCGGAAATTGGGCCCCAGATTGTTCTGTTTGATAGATCTTCCAGGCTTTTGCCGACCATCGCGGTGAATTGGCTCCAGTTGCCGTGTGCGCCGGGGGTGTAGAAGTAGGCGTTTCGTTCCCAGAGGTATTTTCGTGGTTGGTCTCTTGCGAATGAGACTGATTGCTCGAGGAAGTGGTAGATATGTCCCGTGTGTCGACCGTCCATTTCAAGTTGCCAGTAGTAGTCGAAGTTGGGATATAACTGGGCAAAGATCTGCAGTGGTTGGTGGTGCTGAAGCAGGGGACTGTATATCGTGTCAACAAGAGAACCAAGGTTTCACACTCAATGTATTTCTCACCTGTGTTCTTCTATCTTTGGATACCAAGCCTCCAAAAGTTTGTTGTTAAAGAAAAGAGCCATATTCCGAAATTCCTCCGGAATAGAACTCTTAAGCCGATTGATCGTCTTAGTATCCGAGAAAATCGGCATCTCATCATCCTTAACATGAATCAAAAGAAAGATCTGATACTCCCCACCAGAATGCAAAGAGAGTTCCATAATCAAAGCACGGAGATATTCATGATGATGCGGCTTCCAAATCAACCCATTCCAAGCCCTAATCAAAAGCGCAGTGCGAGGATGAAACCGCTTCACATTCGAAGCCGTAACAGGAGGCGACTCCCAAGTCTTATGAGGGGCATTAGGAAGATCAAAAGAAAGTGGACTCCGCATCGAAACATTCACCACATCACTTGACTTATACCTGCCAGAATTTCGTTCCAGGCATAGAGATTGCAACTCGTACCAATCAACCCGGCTCCACGGTACCGCAGGTGGCCGTGAGAAACCAGGTACTTCGTCCTCGCCATCTTCGTCGAATCCATATGCTCCAAAGCGGGAGTAGCGATCTGTACACACGTCGCCGTCCAAGTCCATTGCCTCGTACGATCCAAATCGTGGTTCGGGGAATCCGGTTTGTTGGCCTTTGTAGACCTGGACCATATCTTCTGGTCGTTTGCGGTCGAGGAAATGGCCCCTAGGACCTATGCAGGGCTGGAACTTGCCATGGTATTGCTTCTTCCATTTTCGACTGTTGTATGCTGGGTATGGGTCGTAGATGAATGGAACTGGGTGCGCGGGGTTGACGGATTTTATACTGGTCAGGGTCAGGGTACCACCGAGGTAGAACTGCTTGTCTCTGAGGATGGCAATATCATAGATTAGCATCATGTCAATTAACTTCCAAGATAATTGGATCTCTAACCTCCGGTCATGGACCATCCCCATCTCATCCAAATCAGGGTCCTCATATTCCCCTTTATCCGTTGCAGGCATAAACACAGCATTTTCCTGATACTGACCGGGTAGAAGAATCCCTGGTCGATAAAGGGAATCATAAGTAGCTCGAATCAGATTCGTCTCTGGGTGTTGTGCGAAATATGAGTAGACCCGCAGGACGGTGACCAGACAGGTTAGATATCCTAACCAGCGGAACCAGATCCATAGACGAGACCGGAAGATAGGGTTGGATCTGAGTCCGAATACATACTGTGTTCGGTTTCTCGTGAGCATCTTTATTGCGAGTGGTACGTCCAGGTCTAGGGAGAGAGCGAGAGCTGCATGCTTTGGTGGCCACGTTCAATAGGCCGTGTAAGTGTTGACAATCCAGAGCGTGTAGATGAGTCTAAGAAAGGCCAAAAAGATGGGGGCAAATAGGCTGCTCAACCATCGAGATCTCAAGCACTCAGAGTCTGAAGGTTGACTTTGGTAGGGGCCTAGGGCTTTGTGCCTACGATGTCATCACTACGTGCTGTTGACTACATCTTCCACGAACGACCGAGTAATTCCTCGCTGAGACCAGATATTGATTTCAAGGATGGAATGTCTGTTGGAGTGGTACGAAGCATTTGAAGTCGTAAAAAACTATCCATTTCGGGTAATTGTGTCTATCTGTGAACACACTTGTCATACGGGGATCACGCCGTGGAACGCGTGTGAAGGATATCAATTCACTGATTTATGTCTCACTGTTTTGAGAGACATGCCCTAGCTAAATATGCCTGGAGTGACACATATTGTGCGGGTTAAATGTAGAGTGACGTTGTATTCTCAGATTGGTGGGTTGGCTACTCGAAATATATAACCAGTATAGTTGCACCTCTTGAAGTTAAAACAGGTATTTGTGGCAATATAAAGACATTACCTATTCCTAGTCTCTTAGAAGGTGTTAAAAATTCCAAAGGAGTCAAATACTACAGGATTTGACGTACTAGAAATCCCATTGCTGTACTCTAACATACACAGACAAAGCTGTAATCAAAATTTAAAAGACACCACTACACACCAATTAAAGAGTTACATAAATGTTCAATTCCAGGACTAAGAACCTAAGACACGAACTAGGGTCCTAGAGTCATAGACAGACAATATGTACATGTTGAATGGTGATTGATAACATTGCTATCAAGACAGCCTAACCAAAAGAATGGACCACATAGCCCAAAGCACACCGAAGCACACCTAAGCAAAGTAGCTCTTCCATAGAACACCCGATAGGTCCTCGAGCTGATCCGAAGTGAACGCCTAGAATAACCTAATGTTAGATATTTGCAATAGAAGGAAAGGAGGGAATGGGGTATGGAGGAATGAACGAATGAATATTACTAACCTTTGCATCGATATGCCAAGTATCCTGACGAGTCTTCTTGAACTCACTGATAATGGACTTGACACTAGACCCAACGATGCCTGGATCATTGGCAGCACGGTTACTGAGCGAAGTCAAAGCCTCGGGCATCCAGTGAGGCGGAGGGCTGTTGTACGGGAAAGCCTGGATCAAAGCTCCAAGACCCAGCACGGCACCGTGGCGAACAATGATGAGTCGGTTGTGTTCTGGGGTAGGAGTTCCAGCGCCCGAGGAGACACCGGAGGATATTCCAGAGCGGAAGTTCTTTGGCTTTTTGGGAAGAGGGTTCTCGACCAGGACCTTTGTGA